TATGTCTTCCTTAGAGAGATTTTTGTTCAGCTCATTTTCCCATCTTTTAATTGGGTTAATCATTTTTTTCTCATAAGGCACTTGAGTTCCCTGTGTATTCTGGTTATCAGTCCCTTGTCTGAGGCATATTTAACAAAAATATTTTCCCATTCTGCGGGTTGTCAGTTCACACTTGTTACTGTGTCCTTTGCTGTGCAGAAACTTCTTAGTCTAATATAGTCCCACTTGTCTATTTTAGGGATTATTGCCTGTGCTTTGGGAGTCTTATTTAAGAAGTCTTTGCCTACTCCAATGTCTCCCAGAGTTTCCCAAGCATTTCCCGCCAGTAGTTTTATTGTTTGAGGTCTTAGGTTCAGATCTTTGATCCTTTTTGAGTTGATTGTTGTTAATGGTGAAAGATGGGGGTTCAGTTTCATCTTTCTGCAGGTGGATACCCAGTTTTTCCAGCAACATTTACTAAAGAGGTTTTCCTTTTCCCAATGGATTGACAGATATCCTTTGTCAAAGATCAGTTGGCTGTAAGCTTTGGGGGTTATTTCTGGGGCCTCTATTCTATTCCATTGGTTCACATGTCTGTTTTTATGCCAATACCATGCTGTTTTGATTACCACAGCTTTATAGTATATCTTGGGATCAGGGAGTGATATGCCTCCTACTCTATTCTTCTTGCGCAGGATTGCTTTTGCAATACGCCCTGTGAGTTTTATACTTTCATGTGCTTTGTTTAAGATGGTACTTATCCTTTTGCTTCCAGATGTAGCACTCCTTTAAGCATTTCTTGTAAAGCTGGTCTTTGAAAACAAATTCTCTGTTTTTGCTTGTCTGGGAAAGACTTTATTTTTCCTTTATTTCTGAAGGACAGCTTTGCTGGATGAAATGTTCTTAGTTGGCAGTTTTTTTATTTCAATACTTTGAATATATCATGCCATTCTCTTGTAGCTTGTAAGGTCTCTACTGAGAAATCTGTTGTTAGTCTAATGGAGATTCCCTTATTCGTGACTTGTCCCTTTTCTCTCACTGCTTTTAGAATTCTCTTCTTGTATTTACATTTTGACAATCTCACTATAATGTACCTTGGAGAGTTTATTTTATTTATTATTAAGAATTATTATTTTCAGGGCCAGCAGATGGCATAATGGTTATGTCACTGGACTCCCATGTAGTCGACCGCAGTTTGAGTTCCAGACCTGGAGTCTTAAAACTCATGTGGCTGGGACTAGCAGTTAGTGTAATGGCTATGTCGCTGGACTCCAATGTAGTCGAACGCGGTTCATGCCCAGACCCAGTGGTTTAAAACTCACGCCGGGCGCGTGTGCATGCGTTCCCAAGATCCTGAGAGGAGAATGGAGGAGAAGGGATTGCAGCATGGCTATCCCCCCTGGGGGATGATTTCTCACTTTCTGTCTCTATGTCTCTCTGTCTGTCTGGCGAGCGCATGCGCCCTATAGCAAAAACCTCTCAAAAAAAACCACAAAAAACAACAAAAAAAAAAAACAAAAAAAAAAAAACCTCACATGGGTGCATGCATGCCCAATATCCCAAGAAAAGAATGGAGGAGAAGGGATTATGGTGTGACCATCCCCCTTGGGGGTGATAGCTCACTTTCTGTCTCTGTCTTTCTGTTTCTCTGGTGAGCACATGTACCTTATAGCAAAAATCTCTCTAAAAAATAAAAAGAAATATTTATTTATTTTAATTTTATTTAAACTATTATTATTTTTAATTAACCGGAGAAAGAGAGAGAATGTGAGAAAGCAAGCCCCCAGGTCCAGTACTCGAACTGCAGTCAGCTATGTTGGAGTCCATTGCTCTAACCACCATACGACCCTCTAGCCCTCTCTTTTTTTTTTTTTTTTTTTTGAGAGATTTTCACTGTAGGGTGCGTGCGCTCGCCAGACAGACAGAGACATAGAGACAGAAAGCGAGAAATCACCCCCCATGGGGGATGGTCATGCCGCAATCCCTTCTCCATTCTCCTCTCGGGATCTTGGGCACGCACGCACACGCGCCCGGCGTGAGTTTTAAGCCACCGGGTCCGGGACACGAACCGCGGTCGACTACGTGGGAGTCCAGCGACATAGTCATTACGCTAACTGCTGGTTCCCTCATTTATTTTTTTTAAGCATAATAAATATAGTCTTTAATACTCTGCATCTGATAATGTCAACACTTGCCATCTTAGTGGGTCTTCTGCCAGTGCTCAGTCATTCTGCCTCATTTCCTTGTGAGAGCTTTGTTTCAATTAGTCTAGAAGCTGATTCCGGGAACTTTTTCTTTTTTTTTTTTTTGAGAGGTTTTCACTATAGGGCGCGTGAGCTCGCCAGACAGAGAGAGATAGAGAGACAGAAAGCGAGAAATCACCCCCCAGGGGGGATGGTCACGCCGCAATCCCTTCTCCTCCATTCTCTCGGGATCTTGGGCATGCACGCACACGCACCCGGCGTGAGTTTTAAGTCACTGGGTCCCGGACGCGAACCGCAGTTGACTACGTGGGAGTCCAGCGACATAGCCATTACGCTAACAGCTGGTTCCCCAGGGAATTTTTTTGAATCCTTGGATGAAGATAGGTTTCTGCAGTATTTTTTTTTTTTAAGAATTATTTGTTTTAGTTATTCATTCAATCATTTTCATTTGACCAGAGAAAGACAGACACACAGAGAGAGAAGGAAAGTGAGAAAGCAAGCCACCAGGTCTGGGACTGGAACTGTGGTTGGCCATTTGGGAGTGTCCAGTGCCTTAACCACCACGCCACCTGCTGGCAGCTCTGCAGAGTGTTTTTGCCAGTCACCTGGAATGCTACCAATTTAGGACCTTTTAAAACTAAATTCTCAACCTTAAGATTTCCTTGACCTCGGTAGGCAGTGTGAATTTAAGCGACGCTTAGCTTGTTATTTTTTTCTTCTTCCCTAGAGAGGTTAATTTTTTCTTTTAGGCCACTTGCTGGCCCCATCGCACTTTTTCTCTTGCCTTTTTCTGATTCAGTGTCCACACTGCAGTTCCAGTCACTTTTCAGAATCCTAATCCAGTCACTTCTGGTTCTTTTGCTCTTCAGTTGGTCCCACAAGCCTTGCCCCTAACTCCTGCAACCTCTGCCACCTCCCCAGGCCCCAGATGCTCCCTGGAGCTCGAGCCTTGTCTGGCACACACCCTCCCTCACCTCTGCACCTGGATGTCCCTCCACCTGGCTTGTGCTTCCCAAGGTCTCCCCAGGGTGGCCCCTTCAGGTCTCAGCTCACATGTCAGTTAATTAGCCTAACTAGCTTGCTCATCACACCTTTCCATCTGAAATGTGACCCCCGAGGGAAAGGACCCTGTCTTTCCCAGCTGTATGCCCATGGGGGTGAGTGAGTGAGGCTTCGCGGGAGCCCTGCCCGCTCTGCCTCTGATCCCTACCTCCCCTCTCCTGCAGCCACCTTCTGGGTGAACCCCCAATTCAAGATCCGGCTAGACGAGGTGGATGATGCAGATGACTACGGGGATCGCGAGTCGGGCTGCAGCTTCGTGCTCGCTCTCATGCAGAAGCACCGCCGCCGCGAGCGCCGCTTCGGCCGGGACATGGAGACCATCGGCTTCGCGGTCTACGAGGTGAGGTCAGAAGTGGACCCCCAAGCTAGGCAGAGAACCCGGCCTTCAGTTTACCCCGGGCAGTCTTCCGCCAGGGGGCGCCAGAGGCCATCGCTGCGACTGCTAATGCTGCCGCCTGTTTTGAAGCAGACTGGTTGGGTCACAGCTGGGGGCAGGTGGCCCTAGAGAGACCCTCCAGGAAGGGCACCTGCGAAGCCTCTCTGCCAGACTTGGGGTAGATAGGGACCTAAAATTCAACTCATGAAGTGGCAGGCGGGACAGGGAGGTGGTTAACTCGAGAAAAAGTACAGTGGATTCTTGGAATCCCCTATTCTCAGGGCAGGATGGGGCCTCTGGGAAGGGGGAGCTGGCTCAGCCCACACTGGGAAGGCAGCTTCTGGAACCAGACTTTGGCTCAACTTCAGAAAGAAGTGGGCAAGTGGGCGTCCCTGGGGAGTAGTGAGCTCCCTGTCATGGAAGTGCGTGAGCAGAAGCTGGGGTGGAAGTTTGTCAGACCCCTGCCCCAAGGAGAGGCTGTACTGGTCATTCTGTGATTAAGACTCAGCCCGGCCCTGTGCCTGCTCTGCCTTCCCGTCGGTGTCCAGACAGGCTCCGAGACTCCTGGACCTCCCTGGCTGCGGTAAAGGAAGGCCACTGCCTCGGCAGCATACTGGTGTGGACCTGCAATGTCCCTGGACTTTAGGCCATTGCAGTGGCCACCCTGGGGGCTGTCCCTGGGCATCCCAGGGACACAGAGAGAACCCCACCTGGGTCCTCCCTACTGAGGTTACTCTCTGGTGTGAGGACAGGTCTGGGTTACCACTGGCTCTGAGTCCAGGGCCCTACCTCCTGTCGCCTGTCCTCCTTATTATCCTGTCTAAGAACTCGGGACCCTGCCAAGCATGTACCCTGACCTGCCCAGGGGCAAACACATCCTTGACTTCCCCCTCTCTTGCAGGTCCCTCCAGAGGTAGGTGTGGCGCCTGACTCACCTGGATTAACACACCCCTGAACATACAGAGCAGACGGTGCTGGGAGGGAGCAGCACAGCGGCACACCTACCCCGCAGACAGCTAAGAACACCTGGTTTCCGGCCTGGAAAGTGCTCCTCCTCCCCTACCCCACCATTCAGGGCACACCTGGTCTCCTGGGGGTCAGAGGTAGTAAGTGGAGGATCTGGATCGACCCTCAGGACCCCATCCAGGCACACCCAACCATGGCTTGCTGTCTATACTAAGTGCTGCCTGGAGTAGTCTGGGGTGTGGTTAGAAGTGGGGTTGGGGAGGCCAGCAAATGGCATAGTAGTTATATCATTGGACTCCCACCTGGCTGACTGTAGTTTGAGTCCTAAACCCGGTGGCTTGAAACTCAGGCCAGGCACATGTGTGTGTGGGTGCCTAAGATCCTGGGAGGAAAATAGAGGAGAAAAGAATGGTCCCTGGGGGGTGATTTCTCACTTTCTTTCTCATTGTCTCTGTCCCTCTCTCTGGTGAGTAAACATACCCTAAGGCAAAACAAAACAAAACAAAACTTCTAAAAAAAAACGGAAAAGAAAGAAGTGTGGTTGGATGGGATGAGCACGCTCACCCTTGAGCACGTTGTTTAACTCTACGCCTTGGTGCGCGTCCCTAAAATGGGTGTAGCGGTACTGCCTCACAGGGCTGTCATGAGCGTTTATGAGGTGCACCATGTGATGTACGCCACAGCGTCTGAGGTGGGGAACCGTAAGCAGTAATGAGAATGCCGTTTAGGTGGGGTCCCAGTGTTTTAATGTGCCTGTCTGCATTCTGCTCCTCACTCCCACCTTCCGCAGGGAGGAGGGTGGTTACTGATAAGGAAACTGAGGCAAAACGACTTGTCAGGGTCACGCAGGCTGCAAGTGGCTGAGCTGTAACCCAGCTCTCCAGCCCGTTGACCAGCACTTGGAGCCCGGGCTCTGGGTCTGGGGGCTGCTCCTGTGGGGGGCCCGGGCAGGCAGCCGCAGCCCCCTCCTCCTCCCTCCCACC